CAGTTTTCGTTGTTTGAATCTTGAGATACAAATATAATAAGCCGTAAATTAACTAAAAAACATAAAATTAACTTGAAGCACCTCTAAGTCATCACCGGTTTTGCTGATAATTTGACCCGGTACATCCCGAACATTTCTGTTAAAATGCTCGCACACGGTGATGAGACTCTCGATAGAACTACATCCGAACACGGTGAACCGGCCTCCCGGGAGGCAATGAAAATCACCAGCAAACTTACACACCGCTGGTTACAAAAAACACATCCACGTCACTCTCGCCGAAGCAAACCCGTCGTCTTCGAACGGCAAAAGAAAAGGAACTCGGTGAGCAATTTTGTGATACAGAATTTCCACTGAAATCAACCGGGAATGCACGAATTTTACCACACCCAACTGCGAAACAAGTTCAAAAGCACGTTTGGTACAGTTTCGATATCAATTTCAAATTTATGTTTTTGCTAAAATATTTTCGAGCGAATAAACATCATCACCGCGTAATTAAACTGAAATTAAAATTATCACTCGCGATCCAATAAATTTTTGGTCCAGGAGAAAAAAAAATCAAACAACACAGGTAGCGACAAATCTTCAGCTGCTTGCAGACATGATGAATCATGTGTTCTTTCTCGATTCTAAAACATCCCGGAAAGCGAGAAAACCAGCAATCACACACATATAACCGTCCGGGAGGTAGAGTGCCAGCGCTAATCCGGCAAATGCAGCCGAAAACTATGAAAGCGAACGCACGCACAAAACAGAGAGCAAACTTAAAACACAACCGTATCCGAAGGGGTTCGAAACTGCACTCCTAGCATTCTTGGGCCTATATTGTATAAAATTTTCACTTTGGACCTCCCTGGTTTGCCTCCGGGTTGCCACAAATCTTTGTTCGATGACACAGGCATCCGATTTCTCCCAACGCTTCCAAAACTCAACTTATAATATTTCCACATAAGCTTAGAGCTTCCTTTTTGAAACCTGGTAGAAGTCACATAGTATGCCAATATGGTCAGGAAAAAGAACTTCAAAGGATTCAGATCAATGTTCTGAAGATGATTTTGAAGTTGCCTCCCTGGTACAGTACTGCCGAGGTAGATAGAATTTCGAATGTTGAGACTTTAGAACAGGCCTGTCCAACCTTTCTAATCTTGTTGACTAGACTGGCTGTATTTTTGTCCGATGAACATGTTTCAATTTATATTTTGTTTATTTCTCATTAATTCTGGGCCAAACTCATAATGATGTACAAAATTGGACTCGATTTACATCATTTCTGAGATCCAGAGACGTTGGGCAGCGCTGCTTTAGAACAAATGTCCAACAAGATAATAAATAATTTCATGCAAAAATCGTTATTTAGATATTTATATAAGAATTATTTTAAGTCATTAGCTTAAAGATGACAATTGTTTAACTGACGGGCAGGTACAGAAAACCCGTTCAATATACTAAATTGCCAAACCAGGAACAATGTAAGCACACTTAGATACATGTCGTAACAATTAAGGCTAGACCTAGATTAAAATTAAATGCAATTTAATTTTAATTTTGAACAAATATGAGATAAATAAAATAATAGGTCAAAACAATCAAATTCATAAGTCAGGTATGAAACTTAAAAAAGTATTACAAAATGTAGAAGACTGGATAATCTGAACACTCATGGTTTAAGTGTTCAGATTATTGAGCCTGTGATTTGCGCTCACGACTATCAACGCTTGGGAAATCGGATACGCCAAAACCGTTTAAGAACCACATCATGTAGCACGATAATAATTCTTAAGTCCCGCTTATGATATTCAAAAGTGTCTTATGAAATCAAAATTATCCAAGTTCATAAGCCGTGCCTTATAGAACTCTTAAGCTTATTTGACGCAGTGTATTAACCTGTCCTCGCCCTGTTTATTCGCAATATATAAGAACATTTCAACTAACTATTTCAATCCGAAGAATTAAGCTGAGCAACATCCAACCAACTTCGGCTAAAACCAAAAGCAAACCAACCACCACACCACCGTTTCTTTTTTTTTGTTGGAGGGCTGCTGCTGCTGCTTGCCATGGTTTGGGTGGTCGCTATCATGTGGCGTTCAAAGGATTCATGTTTACTCTATATCTCTCGGCGCAGAACTTTCCTCCTATCATCCGTTCCGGGGAGGGAAGCAAGAAAGCCTCCACTTCGCGCAAAAACCCAGAGTCAAATACCAACCAAGCCACAGCACCGGGTTTCAGAGAAGGGAGAGAGGAGGAGTGTTGCCAGCCGAGGCGCAAAAGTTTGCGCGAGTTTTGAATTTTTAAAATAACTGCAAAATTAAACAAGACTTAACCAACAACTTCTGGGCGGTGGTGGCGGCGGTGGATGCTTCATCATCTCTATCCGGGCATGGAGTTAGATTGGTCCAAACTTTCCCAGCCCCGGAACAGGTTGAATTTATGAAATCAATTTACGCCATGGTGGATGCAAAACTAATTTTCTTGATTGAAAATGCTGCCAGGGGAAATTCCACCTGTAAGCGCCGTGGGTGGGTGGAAGTAGTTTCACTTTAATTTATGGCCAAATCCTTTTTCCCGAACACGGTTCGGTTGGCTGGAGTTTGAAGCGATCGTAGAAGAGTCTCGTCGGAAATCAGAATCGAGAGCTGAAGGAGAAACTTTGGCCTTTTCCCACTAGGATCGGCACCTTCGGATCGGATCCAGAAGCAGCAGCAGGTCATGTGGAAATTCTGGAAAACGGTAACCCACATACATCAACGCCTGGCAGCGGAAGCGGGCAGTGGCGAATATTTCCCTAATAGTTTTTCCTCCGGTAGAATTAAAACCGTTACACACATAGTTACAACAGATGCTGGTTATTCATCCGTTCCCTAGTTGGAAATGGGAGAACGGTTGGATTACATGTTCCTCCTGGTCTTTTTCTCCATTCAGGAGAAATGTGAAACACAGTTACAGGATCCCTGCCGCCCAGAGGCGATAGCCAATGGAAATTATTCGAACTTTTCAGATTAATTGAAAAGGATGAATGCTCCGCCGAGTTGGAAGAGGTAAATTTATTCCTGCTGCTTGCCTCCTGCGGGAAGGCGGTTGTGGTGGTCAGGCTTTTTTTCAATCTCTGTGAATGTGGTATGAACCTATTTTTTTGAGAGTTAGGGTTTTGGATTAGCATAAAGTTTCGAGTTTATGTTTGCATAATTTCTTGCTTTTATGCGACCGTGGAGTGTGATGGTTTCTGTGGAAAAGTGCTTTGAAATTTCGAGCAGTATTGGATTTTACGAAAATATGCTAGCACTAGAAGGCTTGAATAGCACACCAATCTTGAGTCATCTTTTTCATCAGTGTGCCGCAGGTGTGCCGATTGTGCCGGTAATAGAGCTGAGACTGCGATTGTTTGTAAAATACCCATCCCGGCAAACCGGTATTTCAACACTTGGAATGTTATGGTTTGAAATCGCAAAGATTCATCGGATTGAGGATGACGCAAGAAGTGGCGGGTGTGCGAAATTTTGGTGTTTTGTGTTCATGGGATGTTAAAAGTCCTGTGTTTTAGGATTTTATAATGGCAGACCAGAAACCTAGTCTTTCGTGATGTGAAAAGCCATGGTCTATCAGCGGCTGGAAAGAGTTGGAACCGGTGGGGAACATTGTTGGAGAACGACTATAGAGGATGATGAATATGACTTCTGTAGTTTGTTTTGTGTGAGTTGCAGCATTATTTGAATTAAGAGTACTAATGGGGTGTGATTAACTGCCTCTTTCTATTGAGCCTACTCAAGAACCTACATTTCGTATTTAGATCTATAAGTGAACCGAGATGTGAACCGCTGGCTGGTCTGAGTTTCTCTATTCAATTAAAGGATGTTTCTCCAACTCTGTTCCAGTCAAACAGCACGTAATGTTGTGAACAAGTTCAATGACAGTTGTCTAGTAGTGGTCCCATTTTATTTACAACAATCCAATGCCTATGACATTGTGCCGATGGTTGTACCCAAGCTGTGCCGAATCTATTTTCGGCACAATGGGCTGAGTGACTTACCCCTTGAGTTTTGTAACATCGGTTCACTCTGTTTGCATTTAAATTGACATTAAATTTATGATTGGATAATCATGAAACTTGATGGGATATGATAAATAATTTAGATAAAGTTAATGGAACTGTCTATAAGTTCTCTAGTCTTTTTCTAAGTTCTCAAAATTTCCTAAAGTTCATAGAACTGAACTGAATTTCTCGGAACCATCCTTTAACGATCTTAAATCTCCATCAAAGATCTGGATTTTCCTGAAGTTCCTGGAATTATCCTAAAGTTTTGAAACTTCTCTGAACACATTGGATATTCACTACTGTACTTGGAACATCACTGAAGTATTCGAAATTAATCAAAAGAGCTCGGATCGTTCTAATTTTTTGTTTTTATAGAATTCCCTGCATTTATCAGAACTTCTAAAAATGTGTTTGTTTTTTTTGCGGAAATTAATGGAACTGTCCTGAACAGTGCCTTAGATTATCGTTATTTTTTTTCACGAAAGGAGAAATTATTCTTTTCTCAGTGTGGGGGATGACTCTTCCTCTGTTGACACACAACATCATTTCTGTCATGTCAATGATACATGAATTTTGTTTACCTTATTGAATGAATAATTCATTTAATGAATTTCAAAAGCCTACCATGGATATCTCGATGAACATTTCAAATGGTCCTATCTGCTTTGATCGATTCTCTTCATCGACTTTCTCTTTCGTCAATAGCTCAGCTGCAAAACCTTTCCCTGTTGTATTTGACGTTTTGGATTAGAATTAACGCGAAATCTGTTTGCATAGCAGTGGTTATGAAAAGAGAAAGTCGATTAAGAGAATCGATCAAAGCAGATAGGACCATTTGAAATGTTCATCGAGATATTTCTTACTGTCAATGGTTTGAAGTGATAATCAGACAAGCAAAGTTGATATTCATCTCTGGTGGTGAAATTTTATAATTGAGAAAGACGAGTTTGATTCTGCATCCGAAATAATGGTAGAAGCAGGTCCATCATCTAAAAAAGGACAACAACGATGCGATGACAACAAGCGCCCTCTCCAGAAAATTGCATTATCGTTTATTCATCGGGAAGGGAACAAAGGTATATGTCATATTGAAGAGAGCAGCGGATATACCTACGTCCAAATGACTATGGATGTCGGTAATTTTATCCGTCATTTCCGCACAAAGCATACAGATGCGGCGAATAAATGTGGCTTGCTGAAAGAAACTGATGCTAGCGCCAAGAAGCCAAGACTGGTGTCCAAACGATCCATAGCCATTGATACGCCGCTGTACATGGACTCTATTGTCAAATTATTGACCTACCATCAACTCCCTCTTTGCTTCGTAGAGTGGGAAGGGATGAAACAACTCATGGACCCAATATCTGCTGCACTTGGTGTTACAGTAAACAGAAACAATGTAAAGATAATTACGCACTCCGTCACTGATCAAATTCGTAAGGCTTTAAGTGATGAACTGAAGAACAGGTTGATTTCACTGAAAGTTGATTCAGCATCACGTTTTTTTTGGATAGAAAAATCGTCATTCGGACATTAGATAAGTGTTAACATAGCGTTGAAACAAAGAGATTAGTGGGATGTTTCATTCAGGTACATTATGGAGCCAATACATACTGCAATGTGGTAGTACAACCGCTATAGTTTTACCATATACCATACGGTTTAATCACTTGGTATATGCTAAAACCATAATAGTTGTAAAATCAAATTGTAGTGAGTAGTTATGTTATAGCCAGCGGAAGCATAATTATTGTTCCATTTTCAATAGAGCATCCTATACACATGGGACAGTTATGTGTTCACTTGTAGATTATACCCATGAAATAAATCTTATGCTTTATTATCGTGAATTAAACTTAAACTAGTTAGCAACTGCTATCATTCTCTTTTGAATGAACTTAATTTAGTTACATGTAATATATTTCATGGTATTTATTTGAAGTACTTTAATATGTAACACCTATAAAATTCTTACAATTTCTTGTATTTCCATGTTACCATTCCAGGCATGATTGAGATAAAAGAACGACAAACGGCAGCTTTTTTGAAAATTAAAATTTTAGAGGTTCTTCAGACATACGGAGTTACTGTTAAGCAAATATTTCGGTAACATGCGACAATGGAGCAAATATGCTGGCAGCTGTAAAAGGGCTGAAGAAAGAATTTGATTTTCTAGTCTCACAGCAGCTAGAAAATGTAGACCTTCTGGGTGGCACAGAAACCGAGGTCTATACTGAAACCGAAACCGAGACTGCTGAAAACAATCAAGACCAAGAGCTTTCCGATGCACTTTCAACTGAATTCCATCAGGATCAGTTGAACCTTGTAAGATGCTCGGTACACACATTGCAATTAGCTGTTCTTGACGTTGTTAACAAAAGTGACGAATCCTTCAAGCAAAAAAGTGGTGTGGCAAAAAAATGCAAAGGAGTCAAATATTAGACACATTTTGACTATCATAGTGCATAGTGGAGGTATTTACATGATGCTGGATTGCTTTCGCAGACAAAAAGAATTTTTCAATCAACTGGCACTCCAATTTCCTGAGCTCGGTAAGTTTAGGATGTGCTTTAGATCATATGGTTTTCATCTTGCATTGAGCTGCCAAAAATTGCAGATAATTTTACAAATCCTATGAGTTAACTTTACAGTATCCCCCCACTAATCCTACAATGTAATGTCCAGATTATCGAATGTGGACTCTCTTATCTGGATGTTTTACACATACTGAAAATAATAACAAAAAGACGCTGCACACAGCAAAATTCTAAAAATGTACAACATAATATACTGTCCATAAAAGCATAACTGTCCGATATGAATCGGAAATCAAGTAGAGATGGGACAAATACGCTTTTATAGGTAGTGTACGAATATTTGTCATTCAGGGTTGTTAACCGATATCCGTAGATATCGTCTGCGTTAACCATGTTTCCAAATTCTCCATTATCGATTAACAACCCTGGTCTCATACCATCGAAAGACACTACTCTTTTAATCCATTATTGTAATCGGCGTACTAGATTAAAAAACACAACGTCACTACAATAATGTATGTCATAAATATTAAATAACACAGCCTTGATTTACAGCTCTCACTCCAAAACTCTGGGATTTCGTTGAACATTACGCTCAAGCCTTCGAACCTCTTTACATTTGCACCAAAAAAATGCAAGCAGCTCACGTTTCGTTGCCAGATTTTTATTTATCATGGTTGATGGCAATCAACGAAGTTCAGAAGATGTGTTCGAATCCGTTTGCTCAGCCACTGACTAGATCCTTAACAGACCGCCTTGGCAAGCTAAAGACGTCACAAGCATTTCAAATGTCACTGTACATGGATCCACGCCTGAACTATTTGAATTCAAAATTGTTCAGCAACGATGAGAAGCAATATATACAGGTACGATATTACACGTATCTTGTAATCACGATAAGTGATAAACATCTTTTGAAAATTTTATTCTCTTATATTTAGAACTGCATTAAAGACACCTGGAACAGGATCAACCAACTAAAACCGTCTACATGTTCCAGTGAAACAGTAGAAAACGAGGCCAACAGCAGCAGCCAATTTGACGAGTTCCTCACAGAGCTTTTTGGTGGAACTCTTTCGAACACGGAAAACTCAAATGACTCATCGTTTGAGCAACAGTTAAGAGCACTAGATGCTGAACCGCGACAAAATCACTCTTTCGATGTGTTTCAATATTGGTTGATACGACGAAAGACTCATCCAGAACTCTTTGAGGTAGCCATGGTTGTGCTAGCAACGCCATCAAACCAGGTGTCTGTAGAGCGTGCATTTAGCGCACTTGCGTTGGTTCTATCATCTCACAGAGCTACCTTGGGGCAAGGTGCATTGGAGGACATTTTACTAGTAAAACTAAATCGAGACATTTTTGAGAAGGTATCTGCATCATGCGATTGGTCTGGCATTGAAGGGTGTGCTAAATGATTTCTGAAAGTTTTTTTTTGTTAGTACGTTATGGCATCGAATACATGAATACAATAAATATTTGCATAAAAACTATACATCTAAATAAATGTTCTTTCATAAAAGTTCAACCAATAAATAAGCACCAACACAACCGATTGTAGAAATTCCCTTATAAACTCTTATGAAATTACTCTAACTTTTTAACCGTTGGGTAGAATTTAATGAAAATTTGGGTGGATTTAGTTCATAGTGCATTATTTACATCCTGCAAGTTTTAAAGTTCTGTGATCAAAACTCGCGGAAATGGAGTCGAAAGAACAGCTCGTGCGTGATTAAATCTTGCGCATTCATCACGAAAACAAGGATCTCTCGCATCGTTCCATCGCTAAAACGTTGGGAATCGTGAATTCCACGGTGTCGCGAGTGATTAAGCGGTTCGAGGAACGGTTGACCACCGATTGGAAGCCCAGAAGTGAAGGAAAAAGTATTCCGTACAACACCAAAAATCACAACCGCGTAGTTGGGGCCTTCAACCGAAATCCGAACGCCTCCGTTAGGGATGTGGCTAAGAAGCTGCACCTAAGCCGAAGTTTTGTCCAGAAGGCCAAAACTAAGGCTGGGCTTCGAACGTTCAAGGTACAAAAGGCCCCTAATCACGACGAGAAGCAGAACAAGTCCGCCAAAACCCGTGCCAGGAAGTTGTACCTCAACATGCTGACGAAAGTTGAATGCTGCATCATGGACGACGAAACATATGTGAAGGCCGACTTCAAACAGATCCCCGGCAACCTGTTTTTCACGGCCAAGGATAAGTTCAGCGTTCCGGAGCATGTCCGCACTCAGAAGATGTCCAAATTTGCGAAGAAATTCCTGGTTTGGCAAGCCATCTGCACGTGCGGGAAGCGGAGTGCACCTTTCGTGACCCAGGACACGATGAACGGACAGGTGTACATAAAAGAGTGCCTCCAGAAGCGGCTGCTTCCTCTCCTGAAGGCCCTCAACGTCCCAACAATCTTCTGGCCGGATTTGGCCTCATGCCACTACTCCAAGGACGTGCTGAAGTGGTATGCGGACAATAAGGTCAATTTCGTGCCGAAAATGTTCAACCCTCCCAACACTCCGGAGCTCCGCCCCATCGAGAAGTACTGGGCGATTATGAAGCAGCACCTTCTTAAACGACCTAAGGTAGTGAAGACAGTCGAGGAACTGAAGAAAGTATGGGTTTACATGCAAAAAACGGTTGATTCACAGGTTGTGCAGAATCTTATGGCCGGGGTTAAGGCCAAGGTGCGGGCATTTGCGTATGGACTGTAAATAAAATACGAGTAAAATGGTAAAATGAAGTTTAATAGTTATTTCTCAATCCCTGAAAATTTGATGGCAATCGGATGAAAACTCGAATTTTGCGAATCAATTTTGTGTGTGGCAATTTCATCGTGGACACCCTTTAGTCCTGCTCGGATGAGATGCTCGAATAGGTGAAGCTGGCGGGTTTTTCGTGTTGAGCCGAGTTGCTGAGATTTTTTCCTTTTCCGGTTTCTGCTGCGATGGGCACAGGTAGACTTCTTTGCCGTTCTCCCAAATTGTATTAAGCTGGTTGTCATGCGGGTTGAAGATTTTGTGGTCATTTTCCAGCTTGGAGAGAAGCTGCAGCCGGCGGATGTGGTTCTGCTCGTTGGCAATACTATTCTTCTCATAGTGCATTTTTTCCCTTTCCAGTACTGCCTCTAGTTGCATGGTTTTCAACTGTTGCTCCAAGCGGTCTGCTCTCATTTTGCTAACTCGATTGATTTTGGATGCTCCAAAAAATCTGTAATAAAAATAAATTATTGCAGAGCAAAACAAATAAGAATTAAAAATTATTACCTTCAATCGCAATTGGTTGAACAGTTACTGTTGATTTGATTTTCACTAACATGAATTGAACTTCATTTTTGACGTTTAAAATATCAAGATGATAATGAAGAAGCAACTGATAATGAACTTCAAAAAATGTTGAATGTTGATGTTCATCCGTCAGGTGTTCATTGATTGTCGTGTTTGAGCATTGTCGCTTGAATAGTAGGTTATCAATATAAGGTAGGCTGAAAATCGCTGTATTTGAGTATCGTGAAAGTGAATAATCTCAGCACTGGTCCTGAAGTTCTTTCATATGTACCACGAAAATCCATCTGCATGTAAACCCAGTAACGATTTTTATGCAATCACATGCTAGTATATTTTGAAATATTTGGATGATGTTTTCTAATGAAATCAATTTTTTAACGTAGACTACGTCTTACAGGAAGGTATAGGGGCAGATCGAAAATCTAAAACTGCGAACGTCACAAAAAGGTGATAGGTTTTTAACGCTTATAACTTTGTCATTGATAGATGAAATTAAAATCCAAATATACCAACCGATAGGAAATAACTCTATGAATCTTCTGAATTAAATACTTTTCTACTTGTCCATAGAAAAACTTTTGTAAAATGTACAAATAAAAAGTCATTATTTTATCATGAAACAACTCGTTTTCCCTAACCCAGTCGTCGAGACCAACTTGGTTGCGTATCGTTCTGCTTGAGCCTGTAAAGCTATAAAATAACGCTGTTAT